CCTACACGCGAGAAGTCTGGTTTCTTTGTGATTGTCCGTAAGCTGTTTCGAAACCCAACTTGCACATGCATTACGGTAGTGTAGATTCTTATGAATAGTGGAGTCAATTTTCAACGATTTTTTCTATTGTAACTGACCTGTCGCTTTAAATAAAGTCGTTAATGTGAGATCCAGTGATAGCATTGAAACCTCGATTGGTCGTCCCGCGCGTTGCCGATTGGTAACGTCAGTTCGGCCATTTTGAAACTGATGAACCCGTTTGTAAAAATTTTTCGCCATTCTTACAACTTATACCGTTTTGCTTAAACATTGTGGAGTAAATCTCAGGTTGTTTCACACATGTTCCTTGGTCTATTAATTTTTCATTCTGAAAATCACTTAATAAGGGAATACCCCCTTAAACGAATTACACTCACATTACAATTTTCTTTTACTTCAAAACAGCCACGTGCCCGGTGCTGAAATTAATGTTAAATCGAATGTTAATTTGGCATAAATTTCAGTAATTCTAAATACCAACAGGTAGGAGCATGGTAGGAGGCCCTTCTTCTACGTCAACTTTTTCCCCTAGCGGAAACCGAGTTTACTCGTAGGTGTACCCGTTGCTAGTTTCGAGAACAACTGAACGATACCGTGTGTATACTATACATTACATATGTATACTTTTCAGGTACACGAGATGAATCGTAATTTTTTATGAGTACTAATCAAGTTCAATGAAACGTGTCTTTAATGTCTAACAAATTAATGTACTCGTGTACATATTGAACATGATACCATCGCCATGACATCGATACATTGGAAATCCGTGAAAGGATGCTTGCGTCCCGTGCTCGTTTTTATTTTATCACTTACGTCTGCATTTTTATTTCACTATCACCATCTAGTGGAAAATTTTCGAAGCTTCAATGTTCGAGTACCTTCAATGGACAGTAAGTTCCGCGCTATTTCCATTAGTGTAAAGAAAAATATAAACGTTCAATTGGTCATTAAAAGTGTTACGATGTAGTCGTTATTTGGATTATTCATCTCTGAAACGAGTCGTTTGTAGTTAAGGGTTAAGTAATCCCCCAGCGGTTCTTGGTGAACGAGTTGCACGAATCTAAGCGAATGAAGAGCTTATATTCAGAATGTTTATTTCGCCTCTGGTACTCGAATCCGGGCTCAGTCGTTAAACTATAATTTCCGTTTCTAGTGCATTATCACCATGGCACTTCTAGTCACAGAGGATGTCTACGTGCTGATCAATTATGTCAGCTTCGTTGAGGCACTATTTACCACGCTGTCTGTGTCTGGCCTCCTCTGGCTTCGCTACAAAGATCCCGAACGCGAACGACCAATAAGGGTACGTACAGAACATTTTCCTCTCGATCGTTTGCCTGCCCATAATTCTCGAACGTTGCCCAATGGTAGCGAACCAGCTGAATTGATCAGCGATTCAATGACCAATTCAGCTGCGAACAGTGTTGGGCGGTTTTCAATGTAATTGACAAAACTAATGAATAACATGTAAAATCCATATATTCGTTATTTCTGGATAATAACACAAACACACACACTTTATTTTGTTTCCGAATAAATTTCCTTGTACGAATGAGACTTTATTCGATCGTTCGTTATTCAAATAAATATTCTATATTTAAATAAAGGGAACGATTTTAAAAGATAAGGCGAATGTAGTAAATTCATTGGATTACGATACCGATGTAACAGAATACATAATGTTCGTTACATATTTTATATGACTGAGATAATAACAAATATTAATAGATTATAGCACCGGTAATTAACTAAAGTGAATTACTTAAATTTGCTTTTAGTACAACTCTTTCTTCGAAAAGATCGTCGGAAAGTCTGCGTAATTTTAGGGCATTTATCATTGTGCTGAAACAAAAGTATTTCTACTGGTACAGATGACGATATTGGTGTCTTCTGTCTGTGAGATGCTTTTTGCAATCATTGTAATTTATACAATAACTCTTTAATAATTTACTCTTTTCCGAGGAATAAACGTGAATAAGAAACAATGAATGCCGAATAATGGACGATTGGATTAACGAAAACGAACAGCTAATAATTAATTATTCGGAATTTTCACTCAAATGAATATTTATTCGAAATATGCCCAACACTGGTGCTGAGACACAGTTCATCAAGGGATAAAGAGAACGAGACGTCGTTTGTGAAGATTAATAACGATCCACGGTCCAATAAGAATATACTATTGTTCACAGGTGTCGATCCTGTTACCGATCATATTTTTCGTCATCTGCGCTTTCCTGGTAACGTTTCCCTGCTACGTGTCGCCCTGGGAAGTGGGTATTGGTGTGATAATCATCCTATCCGGCATACCGGTCTACTGGGTCTTTATCTATTGGAAAAAGAAGCCTAAATGGGTCGTAAGGTCATCTCGTAAGTAGCCAGCTGCTTATTATGTCAGACACTTTGTCTATGTCTCCTGCTATTACTCACCCGGGATTGCCTGGAATCCGTTGCCGTCATTATTTATCCAATAAGCCGCAGACATTTAATTGTTGCCTTTTAAATCGCGTGTACAACGCTGTTACCTTTAATAGTTTCAGATAGAAGCTTTTTAAGTAAAAACATAAATAACTTAGAACTTCTCTATCAGATGTCGCCTATACATGGTTAATCTCGAGAAACAAAACAACGAAATATATCTGTTGGGATTGAAGATAAAAGAATATATCCAAGACAAAAGTGGTGATACAAGCAAACTTTTTGTTTGATGTTATTTTCAATGTTATTTGAAGGTCATCGATGTTTTCTTAAATGGCATCGTGTAGTTTTAACTTCATAACGTTGTAGCTGATGTCAGAAAGAGTTCAGTGACCTAGTATATTATGACTTTGAACTGACCTTGAATTCAGAAATCTAAAGAAAATTATTTTTTTTAGATCACATTATTAGGAATGTTCAAAATAACGACCTTTCACAATAATACAAGCATTTAATCGTTTTGTAAGGCTAGGAAGTTGCAGTTGCAAATGTTCAAATTAATTCAAATTTCAATAACACGGTTGTCGCTTCGAATCGAACCCGATGACTTCGGACACTAAACTAAACACGTCAATGTTTCCGTTGATAGAACCTAGATTTCTGAGTCAAAGATCATTTCAAGGTTATTCTAGTCAATGTCGGTGAACTCGTCTTAACATCAGGTACAACGCTATAAAGTTAAAACTAAACAATGTCATTAAAAAACAACATCAATGACTTTCAAATAACCTTGAAAATGACACCAAACAAAACTTTGTTATATCATCATTTTTGCCCCCTTGAACAATAAAACTTTTGTCTTAGACATATTTTCCCATCTTCAATACCAACACATTTAGGTGTTCTGTTTCTCATGACTAACACTGTATAATTATGCTTTTCGGAACTCCTGGAACCTGTAGATCTACTATTTCCAAACATTTACATTGGCAACAACGACTACAATTGGGCCATTCTGAGCCAATTGTCCTGTACTTTTTCAATGAAAATCAATTCAAGAAATCTCATATCATTCGATTTCTAGGGGCAGGTACATTCATTAGCCCCTTGCCCTATGACTTTCTTGATGTCTGCAGTCTCCCGAATTACATTTTTATCGATAGTTTCCCAGAAACGAAAGGAAGTCCATACTTATCGCAACTGTACTTTTACTGTAAAAGTTAAATAATAATACCAGCTACGTGGTACTTCACTTCGACTAAAAGAAAACCGAATAATATTCTTCTTTGTTTTGACCGATTTTTGAATCGTTAACACGAGTCTGACTCGATGTTACAGGGCAAGGGGTTAAACGCACGGTAGATAGCTGCTCACTAGAATCAGAGTAACGGATCTCTTTTCTTTTTTTTTTTTGTAGACAATCTGAACATGTTGTGCGCGAAACTGTTCATGTGCGTACAAGAGGAGAAGAGCGATTGAGGTCCTTGAGCAACATCTTTCCTTCGTCGCATAGTTTCGTACGGAATCCGCGTAAAGGTGGGATTTCCTATATGCGTTAGACGCGTGTGTCTGCATTTAAACGAAGTACGACCGTGTTTCTGTTTCTCGTTTTATCCCACTGTCTTCGACGTGTAACGTCTGCCGAGCGTCTTCTGTAACAACTCAGACGCAAACCCATGCGTTTCACGCTAACAGAAAATCCCACCTGAAAGTCGAGCGGAGCGGAGCCGAAGAGCCAGCATCTCGGTCATTCTGTGCGTATTGATTACGGTTGCGACTCTCGACCGAATCTGACATAACATTCCAATAAAATCGGCACCGTTTCACGCTGGACCTGCGAACCAACGCTATTCTGAACGCGCGACGGCATTCGCAACCGTGTTTTTCTGCGTGCGCGCGCGCGCGCCTATAACTCAGCGCACACTTAGCACGTAGGATTGCGGTCGACAGTGTCAATTATAAGATTCCTCTTTCGTAACGCAATAACGACTTTTCTATGGATCCAGTCCCGAGAATCGCCATAACATAATCACAGAATATCGTGTACATTTAATCCTAAGGAGGGGAGCTAGACATCGCCGCGATCAGTACAAGGTTGATGCAAAGTTGGGACAGCGTAAGAGGACCATGTTACCTGTAAGTATTGAGAGACGCGTTGCACCTAAAATAGTGTAGCGATTTCTTGTGCTGGACGTTTTGTAACGTGAATGACGTTTATGCGGCATGTTTCATAACATTAAGGACTTTTTATATAGTGTTTTATAACATAGAGGAGTTTTATACAGAGTGGTTGCATCTGCATAATGTTTGTAGCTATCCAGATAACCATTTGCGTGCAGATTGGCAGCAGATTTTGCAACATAACCTACATATATCGCAGGATCTGCCGCCAATATGCTTCAAGATTCTGTCAGGCAGACTTTGTCTGCAAAACTCAAGCCAAATGCGAAAACAGATGGCTATAGATTTGTAGACAAATTTCAGCACTATCTGCTGTCAATCTGCACGCAAATGGTTGTCTGGGTGGGAACATACGCCTTCATAAGAAATAGTCAAACTAGCCACTTACAGCCTGAATGAAACCTAGTCGTACTGGCATATAATTTCGCATTTGTTCAGAAATTTCCTTTAAGAAAAGACGTTCGTATACCTTGTTATACGCATTGATTTTGTGACTTCAGATTAAAGGTTACGTCGCCTATGTCTGAGCAGTTATGATAGTCAGAGTGTTAAAGACTCTATTGGGTTCCAAATAAAATAAAAGCCTAACTAACTTATACTGAATTTTAGACTATACAGGATACTATAAATGTATGAAATACACAGTCTAGTCACTAAGAATTAGGAGGGCAAAAAAAAAATGGTTATAACATGGGAACATCTTATAAAATATATGTATATATGAGTATTGTTCATTGTTAAATGTGTTCCAGATGTTATGTGACACTATCTTCGAAAAAATTTCGTTATGTAGTTGATCTAAGTGATGAGATATGTTCACCACTATAGGTAGACTACCTATTTCGCTCGGCAACAAGTAGTGGAAAACACATGTTGTGGCTCATATCTTCAAGGTTATCGCTTTACGACGTGAGCATGTACCCCAAGTTTATCACCGTATCCTCATGAAGAATTTTTGGCAATTCGCTTATACCCATCTTTCAATTTTAAATTTTGACTCCTTTAAATCATTATTGCACCATTATGCACATAATTTACACGTATTCCTTTACGTATTGTATGTGTACATATACATATACAGGATTATCTGCAGAAAATATTTTTCATATCAAGTAACAATTTTGATAAAATTTTTATTGGGTGTCTAGAAAGATACCAATACTCAGTACAATAACAGTAAGACAATTTTCTTAGCCAGTGAAATTAATTCGTGTCTTAAGGGGTTTAGTCCAGTTTTAAATGTGACCTTATCTTCGCTAGCGAATTAGAAATGATTCCACTGCCTTCGCCGTAACGAGAGATTTTAATAAATGTAGAAATCCTTGTTTACTTTTAGATCCAATCTGTCTTCTAAGAATTGATATGGTTTTTAGCTGGTCGATCAGTAAATAATCGCCATTGACCAAGTAATTTGAAACATAACAAATTCATTTGTGTTGTATAGTATTGCATCTTATGGACAACGAATATGTGCCAGACGATAAAGTTATGCGATATATCCATTAAACGGTTGAAAGAACGTCACGTGCATTTGCCAAAATGAATCGTCGATGCGGGAGACGATTACCGACGCGCACAGGATCATGCTCTCCTAAAACTTTCCCGCACAATCATTCTCGAATAACGGTGATTCTGATCGCGTTCACGCGCATAATATTGTAATATAAGCAACGTAGCGATACATATTTATACTATTTAATTGTACATACGACAGGAGCAACTATAAATTATTCATCGTTATTCGTATATTGATAAACTGCTTCGTTCAATAGGTAATCACTGAGACATGTATAATTAGCATAAACTCTTGCGTGTCTGTTTTATCTGCCATATTTATGTTGCTAACCAGCAATATTATAATATAGACCGGTAAATTATGTGCAAACCTATAGAGTTGCGTTCCGATTTATTGTAAAAGACATTTTTAAATGTTTTTTCAGGGTAACGAAATAGAATTCGTAAATAGTTTTTTGTACCACAACGAAAAAAATATTTCTTTTATTGGCGACTATGGTTCTTCCAGTTGTACGACACATTTGGTCGAATTATGCATTTGGAAATAAAAAAAAATGGAGTTGAACGTTGCTCACATTGTACAAAGAAATAGCGAATATTTAAATCTTTTCTAGGGATAGGATCGTTACTATGATCAGCAATGAAATAGTTTCCAGTGGTTGGAATTAATAGTCTTGTGAGAATGGTAGTCTTCCCCTGAAATGTATTTTTGAGATAGTAAAAACAAAATTGATTAAAGAATGACTTACACTGTTTTGTTAGACACGGAGCGAAGCGTACATTGTACTTGGACAATTTCTAACCTGCAATTGTACCTTTATAATGAATGGAAAAAAGTTAATAGAAATTGTTAATAGTATTTTTTACATTAAGAGGTTATGGACATCGCAACTAAATATGTGTTTTTGTGTCATTTTCTTTGTCTGATAATATAGCTCTATGAGATAAAATCTTTTAAAGCTAGATAAGAAAATATTTTCAAATAATAATCATTATTGTACACGGGATACTACGTCGGAAACAGAACTGACGCGAGTCGATTGTATACACCCCTATTGTCTGTCTCAATGAAATCATGTTTGTAGTTTGTACCACTTCGTGTCTAAACGGTCAGTATAAATTCAGTCTTAATTCGTTGAAACAAACGATCACCGATGACGTGCCTTGTGTGTCATGCAAGCACAGAGAAAAACTATGAAATCTGTGTACCCTCATACTTTCGAATGAATTTTTGAACGCTGTTAAACAACTCGATTTTAAAATTAAATATTTTATTTTTTTCAATGTCTCTGGTGTAATTACAATTACATTTAAATGTAATTGACGTTAAATTTTTGTTTCAAAAGAAGTATATTTTCGACCTTTAAGATATATGTTTTTAGAATAATCAACGATGAAATCGGTGTTGTAGCTCAAGAAGAACTGAAAGACAGATTCAGCCACTTTTACGCTGGATCGATGACAGTTTGATAGGCCATATTTTTAGCTCAAGTATTATTAGGAGACATCGCTGCAGTTCCGTCGACGGTGTGAACGAAACCTGTTAACGATAGAATTCACAGCGATACATAGGTGTAAACTCCTATTTTTATATTGTACACACGAAGCGTAGAGTCATTTTTTATAAACTGCACGATACTATTATCGAGAAATTAAATGACGAGTCTAGCGCGTAAGCAACTGGTATTCTAAAGATAGTCACAACGAATAATGTACCAACGAATCGAGTTTTATTCAATGAATTTGTCACCCGTAATGTCAAGTAAGAATAGACGAACGAAACTGTAAAATGTAAATGAAATTTCTGTAATTTACAATAAATACAGGACATTGTATGTATTGATTGGATACGATAACGTAAGTGTAATCTCATAACACTGTAACTTATAGTACGTTTCAAGTTAGAACTATTTTGGACACGCGGAAACGTTGCCTGTAGAACAGGGAACAATGTTAAACCTATTTTCCTTGGTATAGCTATCTTGATATAAAAATGTGCACTGCGTGTTTGCGTGCCACAAATCTAGCAAGGGGTTCAAAGTTTTCACAAACTCGAATGACATACTGCATCCAAAGATTGTATGTACCCCTCTCATCCTCTACACCGAAAGATCTACTATCATAGATTCGTTACCGTTGATACGTGACATTTTAGTCTATGTATCTATCTTTAACAACCAGGCGGCGAATGTTTATGCGGATACACACTTTATGGACACCTGTACCGAAACTGGAATCAAAGAAATTTATTTAGCCTATTACGAGTTCTGTCCAGTTCCAAATAGAAGGATCGTCTCATAAAAATTTATCAAACTCTTTGCTACGCTGAACTTTAGACAATCGTGCACGCAGTAATCGCATGAACATACGCAGTCCAGTAATAACGTAACTTGTGTAAATTTATAGCTCGCTCAATTTTACATTCCTTATCCACCGAAATCTAGCCACGGTAGCATTGTTTCTCATGAAATTCTTGCCACTTTTTCTCATCAATTAACTAAAAAAAAAAACAAGCAAAAAGGAAGCCCAGAATGGTCGGTGACTCGTGGTAGAAACGTCACGGATAATTCCCATGACCAATGGATTGAACACACGAAGCCCCTATACATCATACTTTGTGTACTTGCGTAAAAATCGGCTACTCCTTCCTTTCTCAGCTATCGCGCGGTATGCGGTCGGAACCGCGATGGAATTTCGTGCAAACGGTCGCGTTCAGAAAGGAAAAGAAACGAGAGACGAACGTAATCTGCACTTAAAATCAACGCGCTGCGGCGATGGTTCGTTCACTTCCGTCCAAAATAACCCATGTGTAATGTCGTTTCCTCGGGGCCATTCGTCTGATCAACCCTCGGCCAGGGGCGGCGTCACCCAACCGTATTTTTCGTGCGTCTTCACGAGGCTCCGGAAAGATTCCTCGGCAGACCTTCGGTTGAACTCTTTGTTCGACTTCGGCTTCCTCGCCACACGACCCTGAAAATTGAAATGGAAACTTTAAGGAGTGATCCTACATGCCGAAACAGACGGAATTAAGAATGACGAAATTGCGTTGGAGGCTTTGTTTTCGAGTCATCAGTCGTTGGAAATACAAGTGAAATTACAATACATCTGACGCGACGGATTACATATGCTTAATTCATATTGAATATAAGTAGTTATGTAAGGAGATAAACTTATAACAAAGTCAGTGTTGGGCATAAGAATATTAAATGTCTTTAAGGTGGTTGATCATGGAAATTGAAAAGCTGCAAAAAGTTAAAAATTCATACATATGGAGTTTATAAATGAGATTAATACCTATTAAAAAAAATGTGTTTTCCTAGGGCGTGATAGTGCAAAATTTATTACAATAGTACAAAGTAAAACTGAACCAATAATACTGTTTTATATAAAAGATTATTCCTATAAATATTACATACATGAAATAATTAAAAATCTCAACCTGTATATAATTGTACAACTATTTCCGCTTAAGAAACAATTAATTTTTTCAGTATATTCTCTTCAATTTGTTACTTATAATATAATACTTCCAAGATATTTCTGAATATATGTATAAAAGTATTGGTAAATGTTTAATTCTTTATCCAGTAATCTCTACTTGAAAATATTAACAGAAGGTTCTTAATAATAAAATCATAGAACAATAGGATTGAATATCTTAAAGATATTATGAAAATTTAATGAAGTTTCAATGTAATGAAGTTAAAACATTAATTGTCTATTAAACTGAAATGGGTGTACAATTATACATATACAGGTTGAGCTTTTCTTTTACTACATATTAATAGCATCTAAATGAATGTTAACTAATAATATAGAATGAAACTATTTTAACTAATAATATAATAGAAATGAAACTATTTTCCTGGAAAAATAGTCACATTGATTCAGTTTTGCTCCTTACTGTATTTTGTTGCAATCACTAACTTGCGTTTTTCTACACTTTTATACATAAATAAGATAATTAATAAGCAAATGTAGTTGTAAATCATTTTGTATGTCACAATTAAACAAATTCAAATATTCATATTATTGATTACATTGTTTTCAATAAAGAAAAATAAATGAAACTACTATTCAATTATACATGCATTATAAACAATGGTTCAGTTACTTTGATCACATTAATTATCTTTATTATTTCTGCAGGTATGAACAAACTTTATTCACGAAACTTATCTGGTATCAGAGGGACTATAACATAGCAGAAATAATTTTGTTATAAGTCGAGAAAAAATTAACAGTTTGTTACATTTTGTACATAAAATATTTCACGAATTATTAATTTTGTTCGCATATTACCTTAATATTTTATTACGCAGAATGTTTAGAAGAATCCACTTACGTAAAAAAATATTTTTATTATTCCACAATATTTCAGTATCATTAAAAAAGAAACAATTAATCTTGAAAACTCAGAATATCCTCGACCAACGAAAAAATTGTTACTGCAAATAATTAATCCTTTCCATACTAAACAATTTCTGTGAATAAATTTTTCTGATATCTCCAAAAATAAGGAAGATAATGAAGATGATTGTAAAATGCGTATATCCAACCCACCCTGTAGGTAAGTGCGCCGCACAACTGAACGGCCGAATGGAAGGGAAAGCGCGTGGGTGAAAGGAGTTTCATTATGTACTATTCCTGGAATTCTGGCCCTCTACAGCCCCGAAGGTTGCAATAAACGAATGTCTACTGTAGAAAGACACTTCTGTACATACCTACTGCAATAATCTTTTCTAACACTGTTCTCGCACGTGCTCATTTCTAACTCGATTTCTATAAACACCGTAGTAAGTACTGTTATCTATAAGGATATCAAAAGAAAGTATACTTAGGATTCCGTTAAAAAAAATATCGATGACCTTGAAATTTAGTAAAAAAAATAATCTTCAGAAAATATTCTTTACACTGTTACAAGTGCACTTTGAAATACCCTGTCAGCCAAACATGCAATGGCAAATTTAGTCCAATGCTTGATACATATCAAGTTGTAGTTATAAGTTGCACGCAACTCTTGTAGTATATTTGTGACACATTGGGGCAGATCATGGACATAGGAATAAAGGGATGGAGCGTAAGCTGATGACTGGCCACCAGTGGCGAGTGTGGCGACCAGTGAATGGCGGCCTGCCGCCGGCACACGCGGCCCGCCAGTCACTGACGAAGCAGGTTCCGGGTTCCGGGGAGCGGGGAACACTCAATACAGTCACGCGTATTCTGAGCCAGATTGCCGATTGGTTATGATCGCGCAAGCGCATGGCGCAATCTTGTTTTCATCGAGTAAAGTGTGCCCAGTGGAACCAGTTGAGGTTAAGGAATTATTTTGGACAAAAATATTTAAATCTCAGAAACGGTTGACCATTCGACCTGTGTTTATTAAGGTTTTTTTTACTCAGTACAGTGTATCCTATGTATCGTATAAATATTGAATGGTTTTTTTTAACACCCTTGTATATGTAAGTATATATATGCACATCACATGTTATATGAATATAACTGTATGGTATATATGGTGTCACATGCAATGTTTGAACATCTTTATAATTTCAAGGCATGAATCGTTACTTTTTATGTTTTTATAAAATTGTTAATATTTCTCATATTAACGTGTATATTTGTTATTTATACTAATGAATTGTATTATGTGCATTTTGTTTCATTGGCAACAACGGTGGACATGTGGTTCAACCCAAATGCTGTGAACTTTTCAATGGAATAATCAGAGGAAAGAATAAGGAAGAAGCAGAATGCTTGCAGTCATAAGTAGACTGCAGCAGTTTATTCAAATTCACAATTTCACATACTAATACTTAAAAAGTAAAACGAAGTGGAATTTTGAATTTTATAGTATTGGCTGTACTCGTAAACTTTATTGAAACCTTTATTTTATTATATTTTCCCACTTAAGAAGTACTATGAACGTATAAACATCCACAGTCTAGTCAGAAGTTTGAAAGCTAATATTCTTATTGATTTGTAATTATAAATAAACATGTAAATAAATTTTTTTCTTAATTTTTGTATTTGTAATATTTAATGATATCCAATTTTTGACTCATAATGTATACAATATAAGTTTGTTTTATAAGAAATGTAGAAATTGAAAAATTGTAAATACAATTGAAATTTACTAGAAAAATAAATATATTAATGATAAAAGTATATACTTTAATTAAAGTAGGTAAAAAGTAATAAAGGGTGTTAAGGAAAAACCATTCAATATTTATCAATATCATCTACCTCAATGTCAACTATGCTATAAGAGTTATGTGCAACTTGCTTAAATATGTTGGCATCAAGTGTTGCCTACAAAACTGTAGTCAAATGCGGAAACAGATGGCTTCTATTTTGTAGACAACACCTATACTTTATTGCTGGTAACGTGCCCGAAACTTGCACACAACTGGTTATCAGGGTGGTTATTATAGTAGTTCAACTTTGACCTGAGCAGTTTTTTCATACAATAGTAAATGAAGCAGATATTTAGGTTATTATGTATAATTTTACATGTACTTTTTTAATATACAAACTAGACATTATTCAAATGGTTACTAGTTTCATTTTTTATTTATATTAATTTTATAAACGATACACCCTAAGAACAAATTGTATGCAAGTTTTGAGCAAATTGGCAGCAAATAATAACAAAACTTGTCTAAAAAACCATAGCCATCTGTTTCCGCATTTGACAGATGGTTTTGCAGGCAAAGCCTGCTGACAGAATGGTAAAGCAAATTGGCAGTAAATTAGCAGCAAGTCTTACAACCCAGCCCAGGCTAACTAACCTGGGCGATATTGCAAGACATGCTGCTAATCTGCTGCCAATATCCGTGCAAGTTGTTGATAGCAGATCTTGCATCAAACTTGCAACAATGTTGAGTACGTAACATTATAACAGGCAAAATTTGAACAAAATTTGGCTTTACAGGTTTGGATGACTGGACAGTACTCTTCCCCAATAGTACGGGGTGTACACGGGGCTGTAGGGGAATATTTTTCGAAGAAATGCAGTACCTCGATCAGTGGCCCTCGACCGGGAAGCGTTAAGCCCGATGAGGGGAAATGGAAACATGCGTATGAACTACGTATTGGGAAAAAGTACTGTATTTGGCATATATTTTCGGATTAACCGGCTGTTTTTTTACCCAGGGAAGGGACCGGTTAAGAGGGAATCTACGTATAATACTTTTGTCTTTTTGGCGAGACTCGACAAACTTTTCTTCAGTTTGACGGCGATTGTCAACGAGAACACAACTCGACGTGAGCGGTAAATTGTGTTCTTTGTTATAGTTTTTAATTTAATTTAATAGTTTTTAGTTTACTCGTTGTAGTTTTTAAGTTTAATTTCGTACCCAGTCAGCCAAACCTGCACAGCCAGATTTTGTCCAACGTCTGTTATAAGCTTTTGTAACCAAAATAGCTACAGATTTCTAGCTTAGATTCTTGTTTAGGCGGTTTACTGCCTTTTGTTATTACGTCTACGTAGTACGTGGTGTGTGATTAATCCCTTGCCTTATAACATCGAGTCAGATTCGTGGTGACGATATGAAAATGGATTCAACAAACAGAAATATCATTCGTTTTCTTTGAGTCAAAGTGAAATACTAATTTGCTGATAGTAATATTTAACTTTTAAAGTAAATGTACTATTGCGATAAGTACACGAATTTCTTTCGTTTCTAGGGAATTATTGATGATAAAGTAATTCTGGAGACTGCAGACATCAAGCAATTATAGAGCAAGGGGTTAAACACGCACTTGCGGACGGGACAGTCGCGATTGCGTATAGTACACATGGACATTTGTACATGCAATAATATCGTGGAGTGAATGTGTGCGTGTGTATGTCAAGAAACATTCACGGTCGAGACAATCGTGATGTGTGGCCTATAATGGCAGTGAATTTGTGTAAAAGAGCATTCCACCCTCTCTGCTTCACAATCCCATAGAACGGATTTTGATAAGCCCTTGCTGATTTTCGCGAGTTGGCAGGTTTAATGTCGTGCAACGATTCGCATAGGATGTTTCAGGAAGTTTTAGAAAAAAAAAATACTGCAGTACCACGACGCTTTTTATGTCACCACGTCAAATGCAAGATAAGTGGGTGTTTCTAAGCGCTACGACACTGACGGTTATCGACCGAGCCCGTGTGTAAGCTGACCAGCGTTTGGTTTGAGTAGCGTAACACATCGCGTCAGACGTACCTACTTCGCTCGCATTTTATCCGTATTTTGAACAATTAATAACTCGAAAACGAAGCCTTGAATGCAATTTCGTCTTATTTTGGCACGTAGAATCCGTCCTTTAAAAAGTGTCCCATGTTTTCATTAGTACCCTGTGTAGAATTTCCATTGAGTATAACAGCTGTTTAGATCTCGACGCATCAATCGCTCGTTGGACTAATTTAAGACTTCGCTGTATCTCCGACGATTGAGCACGATAGTTTATAGACGAGCGTTTGAGGCGTCTTACCTGGCCTTTGACGATGCTAGCGGCAAATTGCGTGATGACCGCCTCAATAGTGTACGCGCTGGCCCAACCTCTCGGTGTAAGGAGCTCCATACAAATTGCACCACCCTCCATCACGAACCCTTTCTCGATTCTGGGCGAGATAACGCGCATGAAGGGTGGCGCGAAAGGGAAATTCTCGGGAAATACGACGTGCAGGAGGATGTAAGGTATATCGAGCTCCCTCATGTCCGCGGCCAGGTCGCTCTCGGGATCGATCTTGTGCAGTCTGACGTGCCATTCGAACAAATTGTCGTTGACCAACTCCGCGGTGAACGTCGACTCCAGCCGATGTTGGGTCCTCTGGATCTCGCTGAGCTCCTTCATCAGCCGTCGCAATCGAACCCTCTTGTCCGGTACAGCGACGCTGCCCTACAACGTGAAATATTATTGGAAAGTGCACGATCACCATTCACATATGTAACATTATGATTCTGTACAGTAAACAGATGCGGATCAAGATCGCTATTTTCTATTGTATTTCATTTTAGTTCTGCAAAATGTAATCTTTAACCTCTTCGATGCAGACCAATTTTGGCGTAAACCGCCGGTAGCAGGTGGTAGATAACCGTGACCCATGGCTGAGAAGAGAAAAACTTTTCGCCAACGATAATGGTACAAGAAAATTTCAAGCAGAACGTAGTGTGATTTGGTGGTGACAGTAGTTTTATAAGCAGTCGTTTCCAAGAATACAAATCATCAATAGTATCCGATGACTATGCTTTCTTAAGCGCCAAGCGCACAATATGAACAGTTATGAAAGGATTATTAAATTGTAAAAACAACTAAAGAAGCACTGGACATGTAATTACAACAGAAACAACAGTAATCTTGAAACATTGCGGACCAGATGTTTAATCGCTAATTCTACCCAGTGGCCAAGCATTTTTTCATACTAGTCTTAAATAGTTGTTTGTTTCGTGTGCTCGCTTCGTCTAGAGATACCCATTCGAATGAATTGCGACAGTTTAAGATTGAATCTTTTTAAATATTCTTCGTCCGACTCCAGCCAAATCATCCTCTAATATTTTCAATGAGTTTCTCGTTAGTTTTTGACATGTGTTCTCCATACTTTTGGAAATTAAACAATCAATTGCATTGAATTGAGTCGACTGAGAATGGAGTTGGTGAAAATGAAGGGTAGAATGTTATATTGACTCACGTTTTAGACACCAACGATCAATCTCTTCATCAATAACATTGAAATCTCTACAGAAAAAAAACAAACAATCGGACCAAGAATTGACGGCATCCAACTTCCTCACTCCCATTTGGGAGGGGCTTCTAGTGTAGAATGCCACTTCTTAAGCTTTGTTTATATTTTTTTTTACAAAGAAATCATAACACTTTTTGGTATCAACTCTTATTATACATATTTATTTATATTTATAAAATATTTATTATTTTCTTAAAGTCTAAATAATCAAAATTAACTAAAGTACGAGTCATTTAACACGGTCCCTTACAAAAAAGTGGTCTACTGGCTGACACGATTTCAAGCAGTCTGCTTATACGAAACGAAAAAATGAAAGATTTTTTATTAGTACGAGTGTGGCTATGATGTGTGAAAATTTAAAAACTAGTGGCACTTTCAATTTGGAGTATCGATTTTCTTCAATTTTTTAAGTGTTTTCTATAGGTCCAAAAGATCAGAATTAGAAATACGTTTTTGATAATTCTGATTCAGACGACAACGTTACATTTACTGAAGGTGTACTGAAAAGATCGGTTAATTGGTTAAGAAAAACGCGTTTAAAGCTTTGTATGTATATGCACGTTGCGGGCTGTGCACCGTCTTCTTGAACTATCCATAATTTTGTTAATATGTATTATGAATTCAGACGAATCCTTACATGTCTTCGAAAACATATATCCTACCGTGATGCTCGTGATTGTTCTTATAACTATCAAACGTATCGTCGACTGCCCTTCAGAGAATCACATCTCTGTCTGGATTTTCGTTTGTCCGCAAAACAACCAAGTGGACGCTAGAAGATTCCGGCCAAACCGTAGTTTCACCATATTTCTACCATGCCTTTGGAGAGCGCATTTTTGTCAAAAACAGAAAAATAGATATTTTTCTTTACACAAGAAAATTTTTAGTATCACCAAATCTAAAGAAACAATCTATCCTCAGTGTGGGTGTGTCAAGAGTTTATCCGTATTATATACTTTTAAAAAGGTATGCTGAAATTACCAATTTAGTCGAAAACCTTTGGCAGCCACTATATATTCGTGTAGGTATACAGTAAATCCTCGATGAGTGTTCGAAGGCTGCTCAGCACTGATAAGAAGAGATTCCCAGGTGTAACGCTGACTTTTTAAGGTAGCTCACACGTTTAGTGTCGTATCTAGCTGAGGCTCCAAATGGTGGTTTATACTTTTTATTAAGTTTACCAATTTAATTTGAATGATTAATATTTTTAATTAATTCGAAATACTGAAATGAACAAAAATTTACAAATAAGTGGAACAAGCAAACATTTTTCTCCTAATATAAAAAAATTTAATATTTTTTCATTTGTAAGAAAAAATTGGAAAGTTCGTCGAACAAACCAAAGGCAAGAAAGTGACGTTGACGCTTATAGCACACATACGTAGAAGATATGTACTACCAAACTCATTGAAACCTAAGTTTGCATACTTTGATCTTAATTTTTATTTTTATTTGATCGTTAACCTATCTTTTTTTTCATGCCATCATAGTCTCCGTAAAAAATTCTATAACCATCTAAGTTTGTATGAAAACGTCATTTTATGTAACTAAATAAGAAGTGATTAACTTCTTGGTATTAACTACAGTTCCATAAGCGCTCGTGTTAAAGCTATTTTTAAAACGCTTCTTTCTCAATAATTTGATAGTTGTCCTTGCGATTTTTTGGTAGCAATTAAAAGTTGAAGCTTTCAAGAATGTTCTATTAAATTTTCAACTAAATTTATAATCATTAAAATTTTGCGTGAACCACCTTAATGAGGTTTAGCGCAGTGATAGGGCTTGGAATTCTGAAGCCAATATTTGTTTCAGCTGCGTATGACCATTAGTTTATGAAATGTTTAATGTTTCGTGGCGAGGAGCTTTCGAACACTCGCCGTGGTTTACTGTATTGAAAATCCGTGTTTCACAAGTGTTTAGTGCACGTACAAAACAACAACCCATAAAGACCACAACAAGCGTCTCACCGGAGTCTGTGCATAACTTCATGGTCATGAAAAGGGATGGAAAATTTTTGCTTACGATACTTCATTACAAAACGTATCGTTACAAACGTATCGAGACAGTTCCGAGGTCCGAATATCAACGATCGTACACGCAACAAAACAAGAACCGTGGGAACATGGGATACCTGAGGGGTGGTTCCGTTGGACTTCTTCGTCTTGAAGAAGCAACTCCCGTGACTGGAATTGCCGGCACCCGAATTCTCAGGCAGAACGCCGTCCGACGGTGTGACTGCGTCCGGACGATGGTGTCGGCTGAGAAGCCGTCTCGACGTAACTTCCGGAACGCGGCCACGACTTTCTCCTTTGACCTCGTAGACATGGCTCGCCCCCTATCCCTTCGGTGCACTGCAATTCGAATTCTCGATGAAAAAACTGCCGGCTGGTTCGTTCGATTTCTGTTTGGTGTCCTTTGAGACACCGATTTTCGATAACAATCCGTTACACCAGAGTAAGTACCCACTTCGATAACAGTCCCCCTCCCTACCCTCTCCCCAGATTTATAGGGATAAATCGTGCCACCAATATAAATCGGTCGGCAGCCATTCTTTTCACACTCGCATGTATGGGGAACGTCACATCGTTACGGAATAAAACGTCTGTGTGAAAAACTAGAGAAAAGTGAACACAACAGCATCCGTACAGCCCATTAAACAACGTTATTTCACTGTCGCCGTCGCTCACCGTTTCGCGTTGATCAAGGCTCGTTCCAGAAAGACACACGGGATCCCTCGTTGATCATCTTAAATGTCGCCGAACAGCGAAAACACTGCGTGTTTCGGGGAGATGAATAATTAATGGAGGAGCTGTCCCGCGGATTAGATGTGAGACTGCCCCATCGAGAGAGGGAAAGACACTGGCGATAGGACACACGACGCGCAGTCGCCACTCGCCACCCTCATTGAACCGGTCGACGCGACGCGCGTAGTTCGGAAAGGGTTGCTGCCTCTACCCCGCCAGAGCCGTCTTGTTTCCGAATTGTTGGTTTATAATTCATTCGTATGTACAAGGGTGACTATGAAATTATCCGGTCTAAAGATAAATACTTAACATAGATTTAAATTTTTTACTATATTTTCTCAAAACACTCTCCATGATTATCTACACGCAATTGAATTCGATGAAACCATTTACCGAAGCAGTTTTTCCAACTTTCTTCTCGTATCTTGTGTATTTGTTTTACAAATACAGACACGGCTTCTTCGGGCGATTGAAATGATCTTTCACGTAGCTTTTCCTTAACATTCGGAAACGAAAAATAAGTCGTATAAGGTAACAATATCGAAAACACACTTAGACTTTCCACCCTTAAATTTATCAATCATAAAATGGCATCAATCTTACTCTCCGCGCCTTTATCACTGTCGGTAACTCGGTATACCTAGCGCGCACCAATCTTCCTGAGACGTAAGAATTCATTAGTAGCTCGACTGGTAAGTATGATACGTGGCGATTCTCTATAATTAGTTTTTCTGCTTTCCCCACTGCTTCCTCCGGAACGGCAATTGCAGGGCGATAACTTATTTCTTCGTCACTCAGGCTCTTACGGCCTCTTATAAATTCTGCATACCACCAGTTTACAATGGTTTTGAAAGGACTTTTCTCTTCAAAAGCATTTCACAATCTCTTTGTAAACATTCTTGTCGTGACAAACTGCTTTTAACCCCTCAACGCCGGCATACGTAAGGAGGGATACGGACCCTGCGTTCTTCATACACCGTTGGCACACGTAAGGGATATCGACCCCGCGTTCTTCATACACCGTCGGCATACGTAAGGGATACCGACCCCGCGTTTTTCACAAGTTGCCGGCGTCCGTATCTCTGACGGACCCTGTTTTCTTCACGTATCGCCGATGCAAGTTACAGATCCACGGGCTGCTAGAAACGGCGATGCGATAAGGCGGATTGTATATATTATTGATTGATATACAATAGGTACAATCATATATCGTATCGTAATGAAACGCTTATGTTTTGTTTATAATAGCAAAAGCAGTCTTCAAAAGTCTTCTCACGAAATTTTCATTACTAATTTACACTAATTTATCTACTAAAATAAACACTAATTATAAACTGAGTTGTTCTATTCTTTTTTCGATATAGTGGATATCACAAATAAAATATATATATATATATACATATATACAGGGTGTCCCAAAAATGTCCTCCGACCCGGAAATGTGGCACTCGGGGGGT